ATGTCCCAGCCCTGCCACCCTCTACCTCTGTGATCTTGGGGGAATTGCTTAATCCCTGTGGGTCTTAGTTGGCCCAGATGATGGACCAATAGCAACACCTGTCCCCATAGGATTTGTCATGAGATTCGGTGAGAGAATCAGCACAAAGCACTCAGGATGGTGGCTGACAGGTGGTGAGTGCTCAATGACTATGAGGTCCCATTGATGGTTATTATTATTTCTCTCCGGGGTGGGGTATGCCTTGGTGTTGACAGCCTTCCTCAGCCGGACCCTTAGCTTTGGAGATTCAGAAGTTGTCAGTCAATGCACCCAGGACCCTCCGTTCTAGCAAAGTCTATGTGAGAAGTCAAGTTACCAATAAACAGTTGCTTGATGAACATGGACTCAGAGCTGGGCGGAGGGCAGTGGGCAGCAGGAGGCTCATATGGCTTGTGGTCCCATTTCTGTCACAGGGACTGGCCTGGAAGCCCCCTGTGGCTGGTCGGGAATGCTGTTCTCCCACATGCAGAAAGGGAGGCCGAGGTGATTACACCATCTGCTGACTCCAGCACCCACTAGGGCTGAGCTGGTTGACCTGACTGGCTGGAGCAGCCCCCTTGCTCCAGTACTTTTTTGGGTGTCCTTTCAGATTCACCCTTGGTTAGAGAAAGGTCTTCCCAAAGCAAGGAGGCCTCACCTTCATTGAGGGCTGTGTAGAGGCTCCCCAGCCTTGTCAGAGCTGCTCTGAGCACACCAGGAGTCACCCTGAGGGGCCAATGGTCAGACGCTCTCCCCTCCCTGTCTGCCTTCCCTGGTTCATGAAGAGGAAACTTCCTTCCCACACATCACAGTACAAACAAACCGGCCCCTGCTCTGCACAAGCCTAGTCAAGTAGGGAGGTCACCCTGGTGACGCTGATGTGTGTTTGGGTGTCACCTAGAGATGAGTTCTCCTGAATGGGACTCCTAATACAGATGACCGAGCTTACCCGTTACACAGTGATTATTTTTTCTTCTTGTTTATTTCTTTTTTAGGTTAGGAGCACTTTGCAATCCTCCTCAAATATGACTTCATGATTTCCATTGTTTTTCAGTAATTAAATACTTTTTGTTAACAATAATAGCTGCTATTTATTAACTAGCTAGTATACTAATTGGGTGATTTTCTTATATTATCTTTAATCCATACAACAACGTGATTCCAACTTTGTAGATGAGGAAACTGAAGCTCAGAGAGACCTGTAAACTCAGTAATTGGTCCAATATCTGTGCTTTTTTTTTTTTTGGCATTGCCTCAAGATGATTAGTAGTTTTCTCCTCAGTTGACATAAAAGAAAAAATGTTTGCATTTATGTTTCATCTTCCAAAACAAGCTCTTGAAACCTTATTAAAGAACATAGCTGAAGAAACCAGTCATTTTGATTTGCACGAGCCCAGATTTTGCAAGGACAAAAAGTTTATGTTCTGTGCCATTTGTGTGTTTGCTTGGCATATCAGAAATCAAAGTCCTTTATCAAAGGAGGACCATGGAAACCAACTCTTGCAGCAGAATGGCGATGTCCGGGTGAGAGATGATGAGTGTCCGAATAGGGCAGTGGCCAAGGATGGGTAGGAGAGATATTAAGGGGTAGAATCAATAGGGCGTGATTGATTGATATGGGCTGATGTCCACACGCCTTCGCTTAGGCAGCCACCCCGCCTCCAGCGTTGCCGTTCTCCTTGCCGTGTCTGCTATAGCTGGTTCCTGAATAACCTTGCTCTCGGCACGCCCCTTGCCTCTGAATGCGCTGTGCTGGTTTCCGTTGCCTCACTCCAGAAATCTTGGGTTTCTTTGTCTGTCTCCCCAGTTAGAGAATGAGCTCGTTGAGGGAAGGCACTGAATCTCGACTCTCTGAACCCCAGCCTCTGGCACAAAGCCTCGTGCACGATGAATATTTGTGAAGCGAATCAATAAATTAAAAAAGGATGCAGGACGAAGAGGAAGAAAGGGAGTAAAAAAAAAGAAGGACTGGAGATACTGGGCGTGCCATCAGGCCTTCATATAATTACTCCTCTCTCTGATGCTACACATTCGTCCTCATCGTCCTCATCAGAGCGAGGCACGAGAGTGATCCGAATAGCACGTGCTTCTGCTCCCTGCTGGAATGTAAACCAAATAAATTGGGAATGGTTCAGAAAATATTCTAACATTCTGTCCCAACAGTTTCCATAAGACTGTGGCATTACCAGAGGCAGTGCCTTCTGCCGTCATGGATGTGGGTATGGGGTGGGGGACACTGACAGCCAGGAGAGAGGGAACAAGACAAGGGGGAAAGGACCCTGAGACCTGTCCCGAGCTCCAGTCCTGGGTGCACAGACAGCCCGTGAGCTGGGCCTTTCGGACCGCTCCTGCAGAATATACATTTTAAAATCTCTCTCTCTCTCTCTCTGCTTTGACTTTGTCCATTCCTCCCTTGTTACTTCCATGCTCACTGATCCCCCAGGCCCTCAGGAGACCAAAATATAAGCCAGAGCAGGAGACAGGGCTTGAATTAATTTCAGTGTCTTTGTGTCTTGCAGTAAAATTGAAAATCTTGCATCTTAAGTCCTGTTTGTCTTAGGCTGCTGTATTTTCTTATGTTTCCACCCCCCTCCAACCCACCCCCCAATTAGTTTTTAAAGAAAAGACCTGTTTTCTCTAATGTCCAAATATACCACGTGAAGTCTTGGGAGTGTTAGCACATGGTTTGGGAGTCGGGAAGACATTGCCACTCCATAGAGTGGGTGAGTCCCTTTAAAATCCCCTCTTAAAGCTGCCTCTCTCTGGCTCTGTTTACATCCCTGGAAACCGGAGAACCCAGTACCTTTCAGCCTGGCCACTGCCTACCATAACTGCAGTGACTTCATAAACCCACCTCATATTCATTTTGTGAGAATCACTATAATTAAGGTACTACAGTCCTCACCTCACAGGTGGGGCAGGCAAAGAGCCTACTCTGGGCTGTGAAACTAGTCAGTGGCTTGGGTAGCGCTGCTTTCTTGATCCTTTGTGTTTTGGTAGAGATCTGAGAAATCCTTAGTGGTTCTGGCCTTGCACGGTACTAACCTCTTATTTCTTCCTCATTAAAAATAAGGGTGGACTTGGAATAGCTTGAGTCCCTGGGACCCTGGGCGTGGGGGAATCCAGGAGGCTGGGCATGGGGGGTCTCCCAACTGCACTGACCATGAAAGAAGCTCTCACCCCAGTTTGGCTTTTGAGGAGGAAATGGCCACCCAGGCCAAGGAAGCCAGCAGTTCACTAGCTCTGGGCCAGAATGACAGCAATGCGGCTGGTTCGGCTGGCTATCTCATGCTGCTCACAGGCAATTATACACGCCTTTGATTAATAAAAAATGGGGCAATGAATGAATACTTAATCAACGCAGTCTGGCGGGGAGGCTCTTTCAGAACCCGAGCTGAGGGTGAAGCAGGGAGTAATCAAAGGGGATGCAGGAGGTGAAAAGGCAGAGCGCCCCTCCAGGGGGTGGTTTTAGAAGGCTGTCCAGTCCTGGTCCTTCTGTCTCTGGTTCTGTGCTGGGGATTTATTTACTGGCAGCTCCCGGAGCATCGGATCAGGAGAGAGGGTTGAGCTTGTGGGCACATGGGTAACAATGTATTCTGTGCCCACCCACGTGGTCAAGTGCGGGAGTCCAGCTCCCGCGAGTAGTCCAGGGGTTCCCTCAGGTGAGGACAGGGTCGGGGAAGAGGCGAAGAAGGGGCAGAGACACAGGAGCGTATTGAAGTGTCACACTTTATTTTTCCAGCATGTCCCTTTTTATGCTGGACAGTTGATCATTACCTCATTGTTAAGTTGTTATTTACATAGTTTTGATGTTATTTTCCCAGGGTTATTTTTTCTTATAGGCTACTTTTCTCAGAGTTTCACTTCCTTATAATTTTTCTGCTACATGGTAAGCTTGACCTGTTCTAATGCTAAAGATTAACTTATCTTAACTGTGTTCTAATCTTTTACCTATAATTACTAGGTGGTTAAGGCTGAGTTTCTGCATCATAGTCTAAAGAATGGTTACTATGGCTACCCAACAATGATCCCAAACACCATTAGCTAAGCAGGATCCTAAGACTACAGGGTGCATATTTTGTTCATTACTAAGAGACTAGAAGTGTGACTAAAATTGCCTTTAGTGTATAGGGTAAAATTTTTGTAATACATCTAAAATCTACTTATTTATGATTAAAATAATCAGTACTTAAAGGGGTATTGGATCTTTGTCCTTATTTTGGGATACATTAGGGGGGACTAGATTTTTCACCATAGAAAGCAGTATCTGTTTCTCAGTCAGAGCTTCAGAATTTGCCACAACAATAATGTACTTGGTAAGAAATCCAATTTATAATTTTTTATCTCCCGAGGCAAGAGATATTACAAGACCAACCATAAGGCAGCGCCCCAGACATCCAGTGCCACCCCGATGCGACCTTGTCAGACACCGAGGCGCAGCCGGCTCCCAACAGTCAAGGAAAAGCACAGGAATAGGGGTGTGTCCGTGTGTCTGTGCTCTCTGAGTGCGTGCTGTGAGGTTTTGATCGGTTGGGCGCCGTGGGCCTGCTTGTTCACGCCTTGGTATGAAAACGAACTTGCTCGGGGAAGGAGGAGAGGCCGGGGAGCTGGGAGGCTGAAAGCGCGTCAAGGGAGATGAACAGGCCACTGCTGGGGTTCCAGGGAGAGACAGGAGAGACGATCCAATGGCTCCGTCAAAAAGGGCATGAGAGCCTGCAGGCCGGGGGAAGAAGGAAGTGATGGGGAGTGGGAGGCGTGGGACCTTGCCGGCACTGCCCCGCCTGTCCCTTCCGGGCTGGAGCAGGGGCTAGGAGGAGGGGGAAGGGCAGCTGAACTGCGCAAAGAGCAAAGTGCAAAGCGCAGGGCCAGCCTGGCGCGCCCCGAGGAGGCGGCGGTAGGGCGCCAGGGAGCGGCCAGCCGCGGGCTGGGCTGCGGGGCCAGGGGGCGGGGGCCAAAGGGTGGGGGCCATGGGCGGTGAGGCCCGCTGACCCCTGGGGTGACTCTGAGGGAGCGCAGGACTTCGTGCTGCAGGGGTTCGGGGTGGAGATGGTGGCCTGGCCTCTGGGCGCCTTTGGGCAGACAAGAGGAAAGGCTGTGGTGAGGGGACGTGGGGAGTCCTAGCTGAGGGTCGGGGAGGATTCTGTTGGAATTCGGATATTTGGGGAGTTAGGTTGGCCCTCGCTCGTTGTGACAAACTAGCCGATATGACCTTGGACATGTTGAGAAAACCCCCTGGAGGTTTTGCTTTCTGTCAGTGAAAGGAAGGTAACAAAATGAGTTTGCCAGATTGTTGGGGAGACTGGCGAGGACATATATACAGCTCCCTCCCTCCCTGAGCCTGGGTCAGCGTGGCTGCTGCCAGTTATTTTCCCAGACAGTTTCCACAATTTGGGCTCAGTTCCTGCTTTGCGACCTGCTGCCAGATGTGGTGGGATTGAAAGGCTTTTTGCAGCTGTTTCTAACAGCTGGCCTCTCTCTCCAGCCCCCAAAGAACACTTTGTCCACCTGAATCATCTCCACAAGCCCCTGTGCCAAGCAGCCTCTGCCGCCTTTTACAGGATCCAGAGAACCGTTCACCGATGGTTTTTGCCCAAGCTGGACACAGCCAGGACTGGAGAGCTGCGTGAACAGAAGAACCTGCCAGGGGAGCTTTCCAAGTGCTCCAGTGCCAGACCTCGCAGCTCCCGTGGCCAGCCATGCCAGGCCAAGGCTCACCCCTGCGCGTGGCCACCCTGCCTACAGGGCTGCTGGAATGCCTCGGCTTTGCTGGAGTCCTCTTTGGCTGGGCGTCGCTGGTGTTTGTCTTCAAAATAGAGCATTACTTTGAGGAGCTGTGTGAGCCGCATGCTGGGCTGATGGGCAATGCCACAGGGCAGGATGGTAAGACAGCAATGCCTTCTCTAGGAAGTTGAGTCTGGTTCCCAGCTGGTGGGGAGGGGCAGGAAGGACTGTACCCGCTACCCATCCTGTCAGGTTTTCTGTGGTGAAAGGGACTGTCAGCCTTCCCCGTCCCCCCCTTCTCAACCTAAGGGGTACCTGCAGAAGAGGTACCAGCGTCTGAGGGGGTAATTAGGGGCAGTCAGATTTCAACTCACATAAGGGAAAACTTTCCACCAGGCAAGGTGTTCGGAGATGGAAGAGGTTGCCCCAGAGGGGAGCCAGGTTGGGTGCCCATCTGGCAAGAGGGCCAGGATGAGTGGGTGGTTGGCCCATCTAACCAGGGCTCCTGGTACCTTCCTTTCTCTCCTCCAGACTGCAAAGCCCAGGATGAGAGGTTCTCACTCATCTTTACCTTGGCATCCTTCATGAACAACTTCATGACCTTCCCCACCGGCTACATCTTTGACCGTTTCAAGACCACCGTGGCCCGCCTCATAGCCATGTAAGTCCCAGAGGCCCCGCCTGGGCACAGGTGGGCATGGGATATTCTTCTGGCAGCAGCCTCACTTGGAGGGAGACCCAGGCCGGGCCCTGCCCTGGCAGCTCTGTTTAGAAACAGCCCAGGATGTGGACCCACCTTCTTTCCACACCCCTACTTCCTTTCCTCACCTCCCGCTCTGCTCCAATGGAAGGTGTGCTCAGGGTGATACTGAATTGAGCAGGAGCCCAGGCCTACTTCCTGTGAGGGCTGGTCTGGGGCCAGGGTTAACAAATCAGCAAGACCTAAAATTGTCACTCTGCCCTTCACCCTGGGGATCCTTGTCCGCATCTCCTACCAGACCTCACACCTGGGGGTTCAGGCTTAATCACCCTCCTCCTCGCCGTCCATCACTCCCCAAAGGCTTAGCTGGTAAGGTCTCCTAGGTATCTCCAGTGCTGAATTCAGGTCGCTTCTGACTGGAAGGGAGACAGAGGGGGTTTCCCCATGCAGATGAGTTAGGGAGGGTCAGGGTCTTGATCTCGCTCACAGAGGAGCCACTGCAACTGGCCAAGTGGCCTGCTGGGGGCTATTAGGAGCACTTCCTAGCAGGCTTGTGAGAGGTTAGTTGTCAGATGGAGGGAATAGCGGGCCAGCTGGGCCAGAAAATAACCAGAGAGGAAAGCAAGTGCCTTGCTCTTTAAGCATTTGGGTGCATAATGAGTTTAACTCAGCCTCAGGGTCTGTGGCCCCCTGTCCCCTCCTCTTCCCGCTCCTTCCTTTGCCCCTTCCTCTTCTCCAGCCTTAGCATGTTAAGAAAACCACCGTCTTCCTTCCTGTGTTTCTCCTTTACTTTCACAGAACATTTTGCTTCTGACGCTCTGGTCACCCCCTGTGTGGGGGATTTCCGTGACACCAGCTGGGTGTCCTGCAGTTTAACTCAATTCTGACATTCCATACGTGGAGACAGAGTTAGATCGCACAGGTTAAGGGCTCGGTGCCCTGAGACGACCCGTTTCAGATGTCTCTGGTGATAGGTCTTCTGTGTGGGGGAGGGAGAATTTCCCTCTCTCCACTCTTAGTTCTTTTGGCTGGTCTAATAGTCACATTGACGTGAAGCAGATTAACAGGAGAAAAATAACCAACTTGAATTACGTACGTATGTACAGGGCTCCATAAGGATATGGGCCCCCCAAATTGGTCAGTTGAGCCTTATCTGCTCTCTTGAGCTAAGGAGAAAGGGGGTGGGAGTAATGGTTCGGGACTTCAAAGGTAAGCAAGGCAATTCACATGAAGATGGAAAAGCAAATGTTTGGTAAACAAACGTTTGCTGAACCATTTTTAAGGATGAGACACCGAGAGAACTTTGATCACACAGTTGTGCTGACTTCCTCCCTGTCACACACTAGTTCAGATTAAACTATAGCCGTCTTTGATGTTAGCTCCCTTCCCAGAGCAAGTCCTCTCAATTTTTTTTTTTTTTAGGCAGTTCGGGCAAAGGTCAAAGTTTCTTCCTGAGTCTTGTCTTTTTTAAAAATAACCAGCTTAAAATGATCACTATTCCAAAGAGGCATATTTGGGTTGGCAAACTCTGCTCCCCTTGACCAGAGGTTACCCACAACTTCTGTCCAATTTGGCTACAAACTGGAGGATCCCATGACCTCTTCCCCTTTGGATTTGAATATTTGCTCCAGCAGCTCACAAAACTCGGGAAACACTTACTTACGCTTACTAGTTTATTAAAGTACATGGTAAAGGATACAGAGAGACAGTCAGATGAAGAGATACAAATTGGCCATTCTCATAAAACATTCAGGTAAAGGAAACACAATTTATTTACATAAAGCTGGGAGGGTCCCGTGCACAGGGGCTTCTGTCCCCGTGGAGTTGGGGTGTGTCACCCTCCTGGTGTGTACAATAGATGTGTTCACCAGCCTGGAAGGCCTCTGAACCCCATTCTATCGGGACTCTATGGAGGCTTCCTCACGTAGGCACCATCAGTTATTAACTCCATCTCCAGCCCCTCTCCCCTCTCCAGACAAGTGTGCGGTGGGGACAGGGCTGACAGTCCCAAGCTTTGAATCATGGCTTAGTCTTTCTGGTGACTGGCCCCCATTCAGGAGCCCACTCAGATTTGCTTCATCAGAACAAAAGATCCTCTAATGCTCTTATCAGTCAGGGATTTACAAGGGTTTTAGGAGCCCTGTGTCAGGGGCTGGGGACAAAGATTAAATACATGTTTTTTTAATTATAAAATGACAATATCACAGTCCACCCCCTAGTGCTGGAGCACGGCTCCCTTAAAACAAAGCAATCATAAAGTTCAAAAGATATTTGAATTGCGTATTACCAGTTTCAGTCATTACCCTTTCAGTCAGCAAGAAGTATCCAGTCCATCATCATATCATATGAAAATGTCTCTCAGGGCCACTCAGGCTTGCAGGCTTCATTTCCATCTTGGCCAGTTCCAAAAGCAGAAGTGGTGTCAGCAATATACGGCGTCACCTTTTTAGGCGTTTGGTATAATTAAGCCAAGAGACAATATTGTGTCTTGCTCTGAGCCTCTTTCGAGGTGTTACTGCAATATTGGATTTCCCTCATTACTTAACCCACTTATCCATCCCTCTTACCTTCCGATACCATTTTCCCTCTCTCCATGTGTACCCAAACCCTTCCCCCTGGGGAAGGGACAGTGGGTTCACCACTGTGTTTGTCTAGATCGCAGGCAGCAACACTAGTCTAGCAAGTGTCTGCCCCCCTGCCGTCCGCTTCTGTTCAGACAGGGAGAGGACGGGTGCAGAACTGGTGGGCTGTCGCCCCCACCAGGCAATCGAGCTGCTTTGCCTGTTAGCCCTGATTTTGCCAGATGAGATGAAGGTATATCCTGCCCCACCCGGCCCTTAGGAATTGTAACATAAAGGTTACAAACAGTGACAGTTTCTTGCTTAGGAATCATCCCTGTTTCCATTCCCTGTAGTTGCCACCCTGGCCCTGTGACCACTGCATTGGTAGGGGGGAACCCCCCCCCAAAAAAAACGTTGAGGTGCTGTGGGACAGAAAGAATACCAGCACCTTCCCTAACCCCTTTTCCCCAGAAGAGCAGACATCTATCCAGTGGGCACCGTCTTTTAGTCCCCCTCTTGCTGAGCGTGAGCACACACTTGTGAAGGCATGTAAGCCAGCCCTTCATGCCTTCATCTCCACCCCCCTCACCCCGTCTCCCCGTTTCCAACAACCAGTGTTTCAACTGCTTGTTTCAGTTCTCTCTCAAACTGGTCCCCTGAGGAGAACAGCTCTGTCCATAGTTGGACCTTATTGGCTGTAAAGGGTGTTCCTTGGTGTGAAGAAATGATGGTCAGCCATCCAAACTGGTTCTTTTACAGCACTCGAGCATGTGTGTCTGCCGCCTGTAAGCCAAGCCCAGTCCAGGACCCATTTGTAGCTGCCCAGGGCTCTCAGTACCAGCCTCTCTTGCCAGCTCTGTCCAGGGCCTTCTCCCCGGGGAACCTGCCACATGGCCATCTGCAGCCTGTGTCTCTTTTGCTGGCAGGCAGAGCAGCCCTTACTGGCCTTCTGTGCCTCAGAGGATGCAGGAGGGCTCTGTATAGACCCAGCCCATGTCTGACTGCAGCACCCCCATTTCCACTCAGCCATGGACCCAGGTGGCCACCTTACGCGAGCACATAGGGACATCTGCTTGTTGATCTCCATCATTATCTGAACCTGGAAAGTGGTTCTTCTAACAGTCATCGACATGTCCTACTGTAATGCACCCCTCAAGTGCCATGGTGATTTCCACAGGGCTATTCCCCATCCAGGCATCCCTTTAATAGACCACATGTCCATTGCCCTGGCCTGACCATAGGGTCAGGTCGTTGGCCACTGCCCAGGAGTCAGTAAAAACCCAAACACAGGGGCTTTTCCCATTGTTCAGTTCTTCCATCTCTGCTAGGAAAAGAGCCCGCAGTTCAGCCCACTGAGCTGGTCTGTTTTCACCTTCATCGATCAGAAAGGGGGGGCCTTTCAAACTGGATTCTGTCCATTCAGCGTGGGACTGCTGCCCACCAGCCAAGCAGCTCTTTGTGGGTCAGTGAAGAGTCCTTTCTAGGGCACTGTCCAAGTGACAGTAGACTCTGGCAGCTCCTCGCACAGCTCCAGCCAGTCCTGGGGGAGAGAGGCTGCTTGTTCGTGAGTACCTACCTACTCCTCGCGTTCCCCAGGTGGTGTGAGCCTGTATAAACCATTTCCATGTCATCAGGGGACGCTCCTGGCACTGCCCCCTCCATCAGAGGGCTTCTCTGTCATCATCCCAGACATTGTGGGAGTCTCACGTCTTAAGATCATTTTATGTCCTTCAGTCACTGGTGAAGCTTCAATCAATATCTGATAACAAGATAATAAATGCCCCTCAGATGGAAATTCTCTAGTTCTAAGTCCGGTAGTCGTCGCTGAGAGGAGCCCACAGGCTTTGGCCGTAGCCCCGGTCTGGGCTGCGCGTGGGCCGTGGCATGGAGAGCTTGTCCCTACCAGCATTCCCGCTTCCATTTCACACTGTGTCTCTGTTTAGCTTGTCCAGTGATGTGGCTCGAAGGGGCAGGCTTCCCTGCCTCCTGTTTTACAACACTAGGTAGGGGGACTGTTCCCCAGGCAGACACAGTGTCCACCCCCATAATACAATCAGGTCAAAGGGACACACGTACTTCACACAAATGCTGTTCAAACATACTAATTATCCTACAATCTATTTTTTTAAAAAGATTTTTATTGGGGAATTGGGGGGATGGGAACAGTGCTGGGGAATTGGGGGAAGGGGAACAGACAAGTTGCTGTCGTTTTGTTCTTCAGTCTAGTTGTGGAGGACGTTGCTTCACTGGCCCATGTTGGCACCATCATTGCGCTCTTCCCGGCAAGGCAGATCAGTCGCCGGCTTCTGGACGGCCGCTCCCTGAGACAGCTGGCCGCTCACGCTGGCTGCTGGCTACACACGGTAGCCCATGGCAACCCACTGCCACAGGGGCTGCAGCCTACGCCATCACCAGCGACTCAGGCAGCCCAGCTCCAGGTGGAGCTGTTGTTCAGCATCTTAGCTGTAGAGGGCAGTGTCACTGGCCCTCATATGTGGGATCCGAACCGGGGCCCTCTGGCATCCCAAGCGAGTTCTTAACCATCGCGCCACTCGGCCGGCCCTTATCCTACAATCTTAATTCCTTCAGCCTCAACTCCAACATCCCTTTCATTCTGCATGGGAGCCTCCATCAGGATTTTATCAAGAGGTTTTGGTTTTACAGGATGAGGGGACATGTTAGCCATTCTCACAAAATCGTCAGGTAAAGGAAACACAACTTCTTCACATAAAGCCTGTTTAGACATTCCAACTTTTTTACTCTTATCAACCCTTACAACTTCATATTCTCTCATAAAAACCATAGCCCACCTCACGGCTTCACCAACGGGTTTTGGTATCACCGTGTGTGAGGCTTCTGTTTCAAGGAATCCTGAAACTTCTGTTTTTCACCCCCTGACCAATATTTACCCATTCTTGTACAAAAGGCTTTGGGTCCTCAGTGAGGGAGCAAGGGTCTCTGGCCCTTTTGTCAAATCTTTAACTTGATTTATCTGCCACAAGCCATTGCTGGTCGGGTTTCGCGTTGTAATCTCTGTCCTCTGGCTTTAAATTGTTTTCTAAACTGGGGTAAATAGACCGGACTTGTTTGGGGACACTTTAAGGCTGGGGGACCAGCTGGGGCTCCCCTTGACCCACCCAACCTTTGGCAGTGCTTGGCCCACACAACCATGGGTCTTGCGTTAAGACCCATGGCGCGGGCAGGATGGGTGAGTGGCGTGGTCTTCATTCTGCCAGGGAGCTTCTTAGCCCCTGCTGCGATCGGAAGTGGCTTGACGGGCAGTACAGTAAGGCCCATGTAAGCCCAGCCCCGAAGGCCAGCGCGTTGAAGGCACTTACCAAGCAAAGGGGACTGTGCTGGGAACAGTAGGGGTGGAAACCGAACAGCCAAATTCTGCTGTCAGGAAGCGTGTCAGGGTCCGGCTGGTGAAGAACGCCAAACGGGTCACAGTCTTTCTACTCAATAACGGTTGTTTGAATTTTATTGAGGAAAACGATGAAGTTCTGGTTGTTAGATTCCATCGCAAATGCAATGCTATTAGTGACATGTCTGGTATCTGCTTTTAAGTTGTCAAAGTTGCCAGTGTCTCTCGTTGACCTTATTCAAAGGCAAGAAGGAAAGGCCACGCACAATCCTATTTGCTGTCTTCACCTTATTCCTTAATAACCATTTAAACATTTCTACTCTCCTAAGGCCAGTCCCTTGTTTCTCTCCATTCTCTGGTTAATTTACCTAATATGCTTATTAGCATCCGTAAGAATAATGAGGGGAAACTGAGAGGGCAAAGTGAATAAGGCTCCCTGAACTGTTTTACAGTTTTGCAGCAATGAGGTTCTGTGGGGTGCCCACACGAGAGGGTCCCCCTTACCTACAACATTTACATGGCCCGGGGAACGGGCGTACCCAGCAGGTGACTATCCTGGTCCCCAAGAAAGCCAGTTCCACGTATCTTTCACACGAAGTGTATCCGCTGCTTCGTTTAGGGTGCTCTACTCAGCATTGATAGGGGGACACAGACCCTACGGTGGTTTGTATCCAGCCCACCAGGCTGGCCGTTCCCCCAGGAATAGCCAGCCTCCTGTGTGTCTGGATCACATACAGCCATATATGATGTTTCCATCGTGAGCTCTGAGTCCAAACATGCTCTTCCATTCTGCCACATTCAAAGCCAAGGACACAGCCCCAAGTTAATGACTTACGGTCCATTTCAGGAGAGGTTTGTCAGAGAGCTCTTAATACCGATCCACAAAATGAAACAGCTCCTTCATACGGTGCCCCCTGGTTTCAATGGTATTTTGGTTTTTGCTCTCCTCTCACACTGACTACCTTCTTGGTGACCAGAGGTCTTAGAGGTACTTTCTGTTGTCCCTGCATAATTTTTCCCTTGGCAGGCTGGCTTTTCAGGCTGGTGGCTGAAGCTCAGACTGACCAGAATCTGAACTTGGTCTAGCATCAAGGTCTGACCCAGCGCTCTCTTTTAATTTCATTTTAGCTATTACAGGTAGCTATGGCCAAGAGATTGTGTGCTTCACCTTTTTTTTATTAGTTTGCATTTTCTTTTCTTTCTTTCTTTCTTTTCTTTTTTTTTTTTTTAAAGATTTTATTGGGGAATTGGGGAAGAGAACAGTGTTGGGGAATTGGGGAAGGGGAACATTGTGTTTTTCCAGGACCTGTCAGCTCCAAATCAAGTTGTTGTCCTCCAATCTTAGTTGTGGGGGGCGCAAGCTCAGCTCCAAGTCCAGTCAACGCTTTCAATCTAGTTGCGGGGGCACGGCCCACCATCCCATGTGGGAGTCGAACCGGCAACCTTGTTGTTAGGAGCACACGCTCTCACCAGCTGAGCCATCCTGCCACCTGTTGGCAGTTCAATGGCAGCTTAGCTCGAGTGCAGCTCACTGGCCCATGTGGGAATCGAACCGGCAACCCCATTGCTCAGAACTCTCGCTCTAACCAACTGAGCCACCCAGCAGGCCCAGTTTGCATTTTCTATGCATCCAGTGAACCAACTCCCCAAGAGTTAGATCCATCTCAAAATTCTGTTGGTAACTTTTACCTGTAGTAACTAACTGAAGCACAGCAGCTGCTCACACCATGAGGGGCCACATGCCCCCCAAAATCAGAGGGTCTTCATCCCATACCCTTCCATCCTTTTGCTTCCCAAACCACAGGCTCTAGCAGATCCTACCTTGCTGACACCAACTGTACTGGAAAAACCTACACCCTCCTCCTGTGTCTTTCTCTTGACATTCCCATAGAGCACTTGCCTTCTGACACTGCTGGTCGCCAACTGTGTGGGGAGGTTTCCCACACTGCACAAGTTCGTGACACCCGCTGGGTGTCCTATAATTTAGTTCAGTTCTGACATTCTCTACCTGGATATAGGGTCGGATCGCATAGATAAGGACTCAGTCCCACGAGACTGCCCCTCCCCCCTTTAGATGTCAACAAGTTGTAGGTCTCCAGGTTACCCACAGGTTCTGTCCAATTTGGCTACAAATTGGAGGTTCCATGACCGCCTCCCCCCACACCCATTTGGACTTGATTATTTGCTAGAACAGTTCACAGCACTCAAGGAAGCACTTACTTATGTTAACCAGTTTATTAAAGGACAGGATAAAGGATACAGGTAGACAACCAGATGAAGAGATGTGTAGGACACGGTCTAGGAGGGTCCCGTGCACAGGGGCTTCTGTCCCCGTGGAGTTGGGGTGTGTCACCCTCCTGGTGTGTACAATAGATGTGTTCACCAGCCTGGAAGGCCTCTGAACCCCATTCTATCGGGACTCTATGGAGGCTTCCTCACGTAGGCACCATCAGTTATTAACTCCATCTCCAGCCCCTCTCCCCTCTCCAGACAAGTGTGCGGGGGGGACAGGGCTGACAGTCCCAAGCTTCGAATCATGGCTTAGTCTTTCTGGTGACTGGCCCCCATTCAGGAGCCCACTCAGATTTGCTTCATCAGAACAAAAGATCCTCTAATGCTCTTATCAGTCAGGGATTTACAAGGGTTTTAGGAGCCCTGTGTCGGGGCTGGGGACAAAGACCAAATACATATTTTTTATTATAAATCACAATACTACACCTAGGTACTGCTTCTATTACCCCACACCTTATAAGACTCCCAACCTGCTAAGAGGTCCCGATAACCTTGGGGTTGTAGTCCTGAAATTATAGCTCCCTAGAACTTGAAGCTTAGGGTCTAGATCAGTCCAATGATTTCCTTCTAGATTAGTCCAGAAAAGGTTACTGAGGCCCAGAGTGGGGCAGTGCCTTTTCAAAGGTCACACAGCAAAGAGGATTTAGGACTCAAGGTTTTGATTCGTAGACCAGGCACTAACCCTTTTCTCTAAGGGATTGGCCTATGGGGACTTCAGCCCTTCTGTCCCTCTAGGTTTCTTTTTTTTGACAACATTCTCCATCTCCCATTGTGTATTTCAGATTTTTCTACACGAGTGCCACGCTCATGATAGCCTTCATCTCTGCAGGTGAGTGCTGTTGGCTGGGTGGGAGGGGCACCTGTAGCTCAGGGGCACCTGGTGGATCGGGCAAGTGCAGAAGGTGATGGCAGGACACACTGACCTCCATGGTTATTCAGAGACCCACAGGCCTTGAGCTTGAGAGAATCCTTGAAAGAGTTATTGCTGGTCCGTGAAATCAGTTTGGTCTACTGTGAAATGTGGAAAATAAGGATAATAGAGGGACTGCTTCCAAGAGTAAAAATTCTTCAAAAGATCACATCCTTCCTCTTCTATGTGTTCAAATGCCTCTCTCTTTTCAAAGCGAAATGACATTAGGAATGGCAGCTGTTTTTGGAAATATCCTTACTTAGCAGGACAAAAGTTGACCACCCTACTGTAGTAAAACGTTTTCAAATTTCACTGGTCTATAAACATATAAAATTCCCAAAGTCTGAGGAATTCCAATCCAGTTTATTTCCCCATTATGTAGAGGAGGAAACTGATGCCGGAGAGAGAGCCCTGGCAAAGACTTGCTCAAGGCCACAGAGCAAGTTACTAGGAAGTGCGCCTGGGACCCCTGCTGGCCAAAAGACACCTTTCCATATTCCGCCTGTGTCAGTTCGGGGGGGGGGGGGGGGGGGGCTCAGCTTTTCGGTTAGGAAGTAACAACAGCACCCTAACTCTTGTGTGTGTAGTACCCGTGCTGAAGCCAGAGGGCGCCATGGGGTCACCTCCATTTGTGCCTAGTAATCACAGGCTGAATGTCTTTGTCCAAACAGATTTCATGAGCTAGACTGGCACCTTGAGCCAGCTATTTAAAACCACTCTCCTCATCAAACCGGCTTCATCTTGCCCAAAAGCCTGTGAATGATTTTCAAGTGGCTGAATGGGGAGGGGATGTTTGACTCTCATTCAGGCTTTGAACATTCTGAGGGTAACTGCACCCAGTTACAATTTAATAATATTGTTTTCCTTTCATTGTATGTATGTATGTATTTTTTTTTCTGTCTAGGATTTTTTTATTAAATTATTTTTTATTATGAAATACACATTTTTTAGAATTAGTTTCAGCTGTACAACACAGTGCAATAGTTATTGTATGTATGTATTTTTTAAATTAAAGTTTATTGGGGTGACAATTGTTAGCAAAGTTACATAGATTTCAGGTGTGCAATTCTGTAATACATCATCTCTATATCACATCGTGTGTTCACCACCCAGAGTCCGTTCTCTTTCCATCGCCATGTATTTGATCCCTTCACCCTCATCTACCACCCCCCTCTATTGTATTTATTTATGCGGTTACTTTCGACAAGTTGCTTTTCATTTATAGTAGTGATCCAAAGTTGTCTTTTAAAAATAATAGGTTTCTGGGAGGAGGGTTGTTACCTGGTGAGGGTGAAAAGGGTAACTATTGCATTGTTCTGTACACCTGAAACTAACAATAAAAAAAATTAATTAAAAAAAATAAAAAAATAAAAATAATAGGTTTCTTTCCTATTAAAAAGAATAGGAATACATTTTAGCGAAACAGGCATGGGTTATATCCAAAATCATGAAGGTGGGCAGAGGTCTGTGGTTTGGGAAGGACTAATTTCTTAAGCTCCCCCACCACGACTGCCCCCTGACATTTTAGCTGTTCCTCTATTACCCAGCACTTTCCTGATGTATTGTAATGATTTTTTTTTTTGCACGTGGGTCTTTTCAAGGGCAAGAAATATTCCTTACTCATCCTGCATTTCCAATGTCAGAAGCACAATGCCTGGCATAAAGGAAGTGTTCAAAGTTTAATGAACAAAGGAAGGGCAGTCCATGGCCATTTTCTCAGATCTCACAGCACACCACGAAGCAGGAAGATCAGGGAATGTTATTCCCATTTACAGATGAGGTGACTGAGTCACAGATTCAGAATCGGGCTCAAAGTCATGCAGTGAATTAGTGGCAGGGCTTGGGGGCTGAGTTCAGGCTTCTCTCGCCCACAGTGTCAAGGATGAATAGGGGGCTGCATGTGGTTTGGTGAGGGCAGGGAGCAGGGGCTTCACTCTGAGTCCTGCCTCTATTTGTAAACATCCAGGCCTGTCACAGACCAAGGACCATTCTTTGGTGGGACCAAGAAGGTGGCTCAGGAAACCTCTGCAGGGTCCCACCTTGGGGACATTTGGGGGAGCCCTGACCATTACCCTAAGACCCCCAACTTCTAGAAGGCTGGCTAGAATTGGGGCCCTGCCCCCAGGGTAGCCAGGGGTTTAGAGCAGGTGGGAGCCAGCATTTGAGGCTCCATGTTTGGGCTGCACTACAGCATGACCCACCTCTGTCCTCGATTGTTCCAGATTCCGCAGTGCTGCTCTTCCTGGCCATGCCCATGCTCACCGTTGGGGGGAACCTGTTTCTGATCACCAACCTGCAGGTGAGAACCTGCCCTCATCCCAGGCACCTGGCAAGAGACTTGAGGGGCCGGGGGAGGGCCGAACACTTTTCTAACTTGGCTGCCTCAGATGGGGTTGGCCCAAGCCAGGGTGGTCGTTCCTGGCTGGAGGGTGGTCTGGGTATAAGGAGGGCTTGCTGGGTGCACAGGAAATATTTATTTCACGAATAAAGAAGTGATTCAGGGGCCGGCCGAGTGGCGCGATGGTTAAGAACTCGCTTGGGATGCCAGAGGGCCCCGGTTCGGATCCCACATATGAGGGCCAGTGACACTGCCCTTCCACAGCTAAGATGCTGAACAACAGCTCCACCTGGAGCTGGGCTGCCGTGAGTCGCCGGCGACGGCGTGGGCTGCAGTCCCTGTGGCAGTGGATTGCCATGGGCTACCGTGTATGGCCAGCAGCCAGCGTGAGCGGCCAGCAGCCGCAGTGAGCGGCCGTCCAGAAGCTGGCGACTGATCTGCCTCGCCAGAGAAGAGCGCAATGATGGTGCCAACTTGGGCCAGTGAAACATCCTCCACCACAACTAGACTGAAGAACAAAAACGACAGCAACTTGTCTGTTCCCCTTTCCCCGATTCCCCAGCACTGTTCCCATCCCCCAATTCCCCAATAAAAATCTTTAAAAAAAAAAAAATCTTTAAAAAAAAAAAAAAAAAAAAAAAAGAAGTGATTCAGGCTGGTCACGTGTTGTCCAGGTTGGGAACCTGTTTGGCAAACACCGCTCAACCATCATCACCCTCTACAATGGGGCATTTGATTCTTCCTCAGCTGTCTTCCTCATCATTAAGGTAAAAATTGGCAAAAGCCAATATTTAGTGAACCCTTCTCTATGCCAGATACTTGTCTTGTGAACTTTGCATAATTTCTCTCCATCAACCCTTCTGCAGGTAGTAAATACGACACTTGAACTTGAACCCTGGCCCTTGAACTTGGACCTTGGCCCTAGAACCCTGGTTCTAGAACCCGAGCTTGTGACCCATAGTCCCTTCTTTACACTTACACAGGGTTTGGGGCAGAGGCTAAGGGAAGGCGTGGCTATGACATGCTTGGGCCTGTGTTGGGTAGAGGGTGGGAGCCCCTTGGGATGGAGTGTTTGCAGCTGTGATCTGGTTTGTCAAGGAGGAGCAATGTGGCTAGTGGGGATTGCAGGGGCAGACACAGGGGCCCCTCCAGCTCTCCTAAAGGTGAATGCTGGGGTTCAGGGGGCTGGGCTATTGCAGGCTATTAGTGGCCCACCCAACCGCCATTCTACCTTCCTCACTGCTAACAATTTCACCTGGGCAGTGATGTGCCCAGCCCAGGGGACGACTCTTGATTGATCTAAGCCAGCTGGCAATCCCTCTCCCCCTTGTTAGTGATGGGCTGAGGTGGTCATATCATCCAGTCCTTATTAATGAGATGAAGGCGGTACATACTGGAAGACTTCAAGGGCCATTTTTCTCCCTGATGGAAGATGAGAGCAGAGCAACAAGACAGCCTCCCTCCTCGGTCCCCTTCCCACCCTTCCTCTTTGCAAGTTGTGGGAGAAGGCGATGGTGGAAATGTGGCAGCCATACTGTAATTGTGCAGCCACAAGCTGGAGGACAAAAGCTAGCACACTAAGGATGACTGAGTGAAAGGAATGAAAGAGTGGGGGTCCTTGACACCCCAACCTGCCCAACCTGGGACTTCCCTTTGGGCTTCGTGTTAGGCCAGAGGCAGCTGGCATAGCCTGTGGGCCATGGGGGAAGAGGAGAGGATCTCTGGGAGTCACTACCCAGACATGAGACAGCTTCGTCCCCTGAGCACCTTGACTTGGAGGGTGGCCCAGAGACTGAGCACCTGAGGCACTCGCTCAAGCCTTCCTGTCTCTGGTACAAGAGCCACTTTCCAGGCTGTCCCTCCTACCCCAGTCGTGCCTTCCTTTCTCTCCCCAGTCCTTAGAGTTGGAAGGCGAGCGAGTGCCAGAGCAGGAGCTGGAGTTCTTAGCTCACGCTGACCTTGCTGCTGCCTATTCTGACCTTGAGCCATTCATGGCGCCTCTCTGGACCTCACTCTCACCCCCTGGAAAACGAGGAGGTTGGGCTAGATCAGCGGTCTTCAAACTGGGTGTTGAGGAACACTGAGGGGTTCCCTTTGATGTAATATTCGGTCACCAAGGGGAATGAGGCGAGGAGGACTGGGCCACTCCCCACTGATGTGTTTTGTGAGTTGAATTTTTATGTGAAATCTTATGTTTGAACAAAAGAACTTTGCTGCTATTGAAAAAAAGAAAGCACTGGGTTAGATGGTCTCTGAGAAGCCACACTGGGAGGCTCTCCGGGGCTGTGGGATGGGTGGCATGGTGCCTGCCCTGCTGCTGGGTGAGCCTGGGCGTGAGGGTGAGGCTGTGTGTGTACCAGGTGTGCTTGATTAGCGTCCAGGATGGAGGCAAAAAGATTCACTCTTGGAAATGGGGTCTATGCCCCTGCTTCTTACACTGACTTTTTTTTTGGATGACAAAATAGGGATAACATGAAATTTACCATCTTAACTATTTTTAAGTGTACAATTCAAGGGCGTTAAGTTCATTCACATTGTTGCGCAACCGTCACCACCATCCATCTCTTTTCAACCTTGTAAAACTGAAACGCTGTCCCGATTAAACACTAACTCCCCGTTCCTTTGTCCCCCAGCCCCCGCAACCACCTTGTTGCTTCTTGTTTCTGTGCATTTGGCTTCTCCAAGTACTTCTTATAAGTGGGATCATACAGTATCTGTCCTTCTGTGACTGGCTATTTCACTGAGCATTGTGTCCTCACGGTTTGTCCACGTCATAGCATGTGTCAGGATCTCCGTCCTTTTGAAGGCTGAATAACATCCCACCATGTGGCTAGACCACATTTTACTCGTCCCTTCATTTGGGACGGACCCGGGGCTTGCTTCTACCTTTTGGACGTTGTGAGCACGGCTGTTATGCCAACTTGCCTTCTTTTTGCAGCTCCTTTACGAGCAGGGCATCAGCCTCAGGGCCTCCTTCATCTTCCTCTCCGTCTGCAGTGCTTGGCACGTTGGGCGTACCTTCCTCCTGATGCCCTGGGGGCACATCCCCTACCCGCTGCCCCCCAACTATAGCTACGGGTAAGGATTGTCACCCGGTGACTGTGGGCCAGAGCCCTTCACCTGACCTCACGTAGGAAGCTGGGGACAGGACAGACATGGTTATAGCAGGGCAGAGGAAACCTGTCACAGGACAGGATGAGGACGGGGCCTCTCCGTGAGCTATTGCTGCAAAACAGGCCGCCCTCAAACTCAGTGGATCTAAAACATTGCACATTTATTATATTTTTATAAGTCTGTGGGTAGCTGACTAGTTCTACTGATCAGGGACAGACTCGGATGGTCTCGACAGGCTCACTCGTGTCCTGATCACCTGGTGGACTAGCTGGGGGCTGGCTGGTCTAGGATGGCCTCACTCACATGGGGTTTATCTGGCAGTCATTTAGGGTGACAGGGATGCCTGGGTCACCTGGCTCTCATCCTCTAGCAGGCTAACTTGGGCTTGTTCACATAGTGGTGTCAAGCGAGAGTGTAGAAGTGCCCAAGTTTTCTTAAAGTCGAGGGTTGGAAATGGCACACCCCATGACAAGGCCAGCCCAGATTCAGGGGGTGGGGGCTAGTCAGGGCTGCAGTCCCCTTGCACAGGGTGGGGAAGAAGTGTGGCTGTCCTTCACTCTATCATCATGAGCAGTAGAGGGGGCCACACGTGGGCCGCTCACTTACAATTTGTAGACTCCATGAGCTCTCTGATAGATACCCTCAAATAGATACTCTCTCAAGTAGATACCCTCATCTCCATTTTTCCAATGAGAAAATTGAGGTTCAGAAGGGTTAAATCTGAGCCATGTGGCCAGCTAGGAAGAGGCCGAGCTGGGGTTTGAACCCCAGGCCTGAGGTTCAGAAGGGTTAAATCTGAGCCATGTGGCCAGCTAGGAAGAGGCCGAGCTGGGGTTTGAACCCCAGGCCTGCCCTATTCTTCCTACTCTTCCAGTGGTTTCCAAGCTTTACTGCCTCTTAGAATCACTAGGAGATCTTTAAAAAATATGGAAGCCTGGCTTGCATGCCCCCACATCCCAATTTCCCAGGTCTGGGCTGTGATCTGCGCATGGCCATTGTTAAAAGGTGATTTCCGTGTGCAGTGCCATTTGGCGACGGCTGCACGCTTACCTCCAGCCTGAGCCTCACGCTCAGCTCACAGTCCCTGGCCTGGGCTGGGCTCAGGGACCTTCTGTTTCCACAGCCTGTGCTCTGGGAATGGCACCAGAGGGGAGAAGAAGGAAACAGCTGAGCCTGAAAAGCTAGATCTACTGTCAGAGGAGTTCCAGTCACCAGAGGAAGGTGAGCCCTGCCTGATAAGCCATGTTTCCTTCCGAGCCTGGCCTTTCTCTCACCTCCAGAGCTGCCGCAGGGACTTGGACTCAGGAAAGGTCAAGTCGAGTGTGTAGGATCTCCTCAGCCCCTCATTTCATAGAGGGTCCGGAGAGGGGCAAGGCTTTCGTGCCTTCTCTGTTGTCCGCCCCTCTTCCCTTCTGTCTCCTCTGTCGTTCCCCCTGGCCCCACAGTCAGTCCCCTATCACTGCCTTCCCTCTCCCATGCTCCTCAGTCCCAGTTTGGCTTATCTGTCCCCATTTCTGCAGGTGCCCCAGGTCTGCCTTCTCTCGTCGTCCCTTCGCTATTGCTGCCTCTTTTCCCTCTTCTATCTGTTTTCGGTCTGGTATAAACACCCCAAACCACGGTTGGCTAAGGTAGCAACACGAACAGGATTCTGGAAAGCTCACACATTGACGGGGGAAATGAACTTGCCAGGCTCCAGGAGGAGTAGAACCAGGGTACCTCTGGGATCCCAGTCTAAAGCCGTAGCAATCCTCTCTAGGGAGAACGATCAAATCGGTCCGCCATGGGTGAGGAACAGAACACTTAACTCCCAGTCCCATCGGGACCATGCAGGATACATATGACAGAGGAAGATTTCCAGAGGAAACCAGGATGCTGGGACCAAAAGAAAGGGAGGGGATGTGGAGCTGTCTGCCACTATCCCTCATGTCATCTCATGTCATCACCCCTCCTTTTCACCATCTTGGCTGAGAAAGATCAGGAAAGTGTTAGTGCATGAAGTGGCGTTGAAGCCAGGCTGTGAAGGACAGACCGGTTTTCAGCAGACAGAAAAGACCACAGGGAGGGAGGCTCATGCAAGGTGGCAGAGCCAGGGTGACCAAGGTGTGGAGGTGGGGATGCACAAGGCGCAGGCAGCCGGGAGAGCACTGTGGATGGGATCTAGGCGGTGAGAACAGAAGGTGTCCCATTAGGGCCTCCACGCTCTCGCCCACCGCAGCCCTCCACTTGCCTTGTAATTCATATCCAGATTCTCCTTTCCCCAACAGAGGCCCCGGGACCAGGGCAGCAGCAGGAAGCCCTCTCTTTCTGGAGCCATGTTCTCTCTCAGCGCTTCGCCTGGCACCTGGTATGGCTGTCTGTGATACAGCTGTGGCACTACCTCTTCATTGGCACCCTCAACTCTCTGCTGACCAACCTGGCCGTTGGGGACAGGGCGCTAGGTGTGTAGCAGGGCTGGGAGGCAGCCCGTCTGCACACCCCAGCCGGGGACTTGGAACCTCGAGGGTGTGGGGTGCTGAGCTCAACAGGGCGATGTGTTGCAGAGAGAAGGCTGAGCAGAGGATGTGGAGGAGGGCCAGGCAGAGCATGGCGGGTGGGAGAGTCTTCTCCTGTACGGCAGTCCTGGGAGTTTCTTACCCCCACTCCCACCCCTCTCTGTCCTCTGCAGTCAGCAGCTACACAAATGCCTTTGCCGTCACTCAGTTCTTTGGGGTGCTGTGTGCCCCCTGGAATGGCCTGCTTATGGACCGGCTGAAGCAGAAGTTCCAGAAGGAAGCGCAAAAGACAGGTGAGAGCAGGGTTCCAGAGGATCAGGGAACCAGGAGGGGAGACATCTGCATGTGTCTCCACGCCCATCTTCTCTTTTGTTCTTAACCCTTGTCTTCTTGTATCTATCCATCCATCCATCCATCCATCCATCCAACCACTAGTCACTGAGTGCTAATTATATACCAGCCAAAGTTCCAGATTCAACAATGGGCAAGACAGCTATGTCCTTGTTCTCAGTCTAGAGGGTGGAGAAAGGCACTACAGTCCATGAAGGAAACCCAGAGGGGCTATGGGGACACGAAGAAGAATAGCACGTAACCTGTTGCAAAAAGAGGATGGGATTGGTGTCAGGGAAGGCTTCCTGGAGGAAGTGGCATCCAAGCCGAGACCTAGAGAATGAGTAAGAAGTGAGGAGATGAAGAGGAGGGCCTGGGAGAGTGGCCCAGGAATACAGTGGGGTCAAGGTGGTGAAGGAGAGAGCAAAACATTGAGTAATCTGGGGGATTCCAGAAAGTGATTAGGCTGGCCAGGGCACAGAGCCCTGGAGGCATGGTGGTGGAGACAGGGGTGTGAGGGGGTGAGGGCTGGAGAGAGAGAAGTAAGAAGGGGCCGGCAGCCCACCATCCCAAGGAGCTTGCTCATACATGACCCTTGAATGTATGGGAGGAACAGAGGGGCACTGAGGTATTTTAATCTGCAGGGGTTGGGGGTCTGTAGGGACGGAAGTAGAGAGTGACATTTCTCCTACAGTTTCATCTATACCTCTTCCCCACTCCCCCTGCACTGCAGTCTCTCACCCCTGCTGGAGTATTTTAAAGCAAATCTCAGACACCAAATCATTTCATCTGTAAATACTTCCATTTGTAATCTCTAACAAATAAGGCCTCTTTTATGTAAACCTTACCATAATAATATTGGGTTGTCGGGAAAGACATAACATCTTTTTCTATGTTTTTCAATGCAAAAATGCGTCATGACTTTCCCAACAACCCAATATTATCACACCTGAAACAATCCCAGTAGTTTCTTGATATTATCTAATATGCAGTTCTGTTCAAATTTCCCACGTTGTCTCAAGTATGTCTTTTTAGCATTGGTTTGTTCAAATTAGGGTCCACACAATGTATTTGGTTGCTATGCCTTTTACATCTTTTGAAATCTGTGATGCCATCTCACTTTTTTTGGTCGTTTATTTGTTGAAGAAACTGGGTCATTTAGCCTGTCAAATTCCCCACATTTCGGATGTGGCATTTTTTCATGTCATTTACAAATGTCTCTTGGATTGGGTATTTCCTGTAAAGAGGCAAGTTGGAGGCCGAGGAGACTCAGTTTAATATTTTTTGGTAAGCATGATTCAGAGGCGGAGCTGTGGGCTTCCAATGGGCTCCCATCAGCAGGCCCCTGGTACCGGCTGTCCCTGTTATATGATGTTAAGATTGATCGATGGGCTCAGACGTCAGCAACCTAATCGGCTCATTATATATCAGGTTTCCCATCAGCTGCCTGCCCTAATGATTTTAGCAGCCAGTGACGATCAATGCCCACACCCGTTATTTTATTAGGGCTGCAAAATGGTGATTTTCTATTTCTATCTCCCCTTCGGATTCTAGAATTCCTCTAGAAAGAAAAACTTTCCCTTATAATCTATTTTGTTACCCAGAAATAAATGCTTGGTTTTCCTTCTATTTCCATGTCATGAAAATGAGGTTGCCTTAGCAACCTCTAGGGGTGACTACGTGTTCCTCTTTGAAAGTCTCACTTTAAATATCTTTGAACGTGTTTCGGTCCATTTCTATCACAGTTCTTCTTGATGTTCAAATTGTCCCATCTTCGGCCATTGGGAACATTCCCAATCCAGTATCTGTGTCCCTTAGACATAATCTTTAGAGAGTGTCTTTACTTTCTAGCACAAGGGGATGTTTAGGTCTGTTCCGTTGGGTATGTTTCCTGCTCCAAACCTGAAACCAGCCATTTCTCCAAGTAGCCCTGGGTCCCTGTAATGGGAAACGGTACTCAGAGGCTGCCGTCTGGATGCTAATGCTTCCAGTTCTCCTGGGTCATCACTGCCGTTAGGCCTTGGATAGAGGTAAGAGATACATAAGGTTTTTGGATGAAAAAGTACATCGTGAATACCTAATATTGATATTTTAATTCAAATTTTACCTCCTTGATTTTACATTTGTATATATTTTTTCTCCCTCTGAAAACTGTGGTTCCTAACAATACTATATACATGAACAATATACTGTATACACATCCATGTATATACCATATTTTAAAAACATATTTTATACATAAATGCTGGTTTAGCAATAGCAATACTATTAATAATACAATTGCTACAGGCTGTCCTCCCTTCCTTCCTTCCTTCCTTCCTTCCTTCCTTCCTTCCTTCCTTTTTCCTTCCTTCCTTCCTTCCTTCCGTTTTCATCCTTAGGCTATCTACCACAAGAAATGTAGTCAATTACTGTGTTTTATAAGTCATCAACTTGATATAAAGTTCTGTCCATTGGTTTCATTTTGTTTCTAATTTGGGGGAAACACTTTTCTTCTTTTCTTCCTATTATTTTAAAAAAATGTACATATCAAACATTTATATTTTTCCAAAGCCAAAACTGTGAAACAAGCTATATTCAGAGAAATTTAGTTTCTCTCGCTGTTTCCTGTATTCCATTCCTTCCCTCTTTCTTTGGCAATTATTTTTATTGTTCTTTACTTAAAGAAAGACTATCTATATACACCTTCTCTCTTTCTTAGATAAAAGGCAGTGTATCGCACACCCTGTTCTGTAGTTTTCTTTCTGTGCAACTCTCTGTCGACCAAGTGTAAATGAAATCAGACTTCGCTAGAATTAAGTGACAAAGTTTTTTATTTTATTTTTATTTATATTTATTTATTTATTTATTTATTTATTTATTTATTTATTTATTTATTTTAAAGATTTTTATTGGGGAATTGGGGGGATGGGAACAGTGCTGGGGAATTGGGGGAAGGGGAACAGACAAATTGCTGTCATTTTTTGTTCTTTAGTCTAGTTGTGGAGGACGTTGCTTCACTGACCCAAGTTGGCACCATCATTGCGCTCTTCCCTGGCGAGGCAGATCAGTCGCCGGCCTCTAGACGGCCGCTCATGGCGGCTTGCTGGCTGCTCACGCTGGCTGCTGGCTACATACGTAGCCCATGGCAACCCACTGCCACAGGGGCTGCAGCCTACGCCGTCGCCGGCGACTCACGGCAGCCCAGCTCCAGGTTGAGCTGTTGTTCAGCATCTTAGCTGTAGAGGGCAGTGTCACTGGCCCTCACATGTGGGATCCGAACCGGGGCCCTCTGGCGTCCCAAGCCAGTTCTTAACCATTGTGCCACTTGGCCGGTCCTTAAGTGACAAAGTTTTAATCAAGGGTCTTAAGTGAGTGAATTACAATTCTGGAAACACTACCAGCAATACCTAGAGTGTTCCAAAGAAAAAGAAAAGGTTGATAGTTTTTACGGTAAGAAGCACATTCCCGAGAAGACTCGGTCCTGCCTGCTTGGCTGGGTCTGCGATAGTGATCTTCCAGATGTCTGGTGGTCCAGACACGTGACCATTCTTTCCTGAGTCCTTCAGGGGAGCTACCTGTAGCGTTTACACACCTCCAGCCATTGATGCACAACTGAAGTTCTAAAGTTTATGCTCCCAGGCTAAAGTAAAATAAAATAGTTTCTCTCATGCTTCGGCCCTCTCTGACTTTTGTCAGCTTGGCTGTGGTGATTCCGCTTCGTTTCTTCACATCTTTCCCGTCCCTGCCCTGCTCCCCAGCGGGGCCCCGCCCCCCTCATTCCTCCAACTGCTGCCTCATTCTCTTACGTGGCTGCAGCATCGTGCTTGCAGCTTTCCCCTCTTAGTGGCTATTTGGATGGCTTCCAGTCTTTTGCTGTGACCAGTAGCATTCCTCGGGATATTTGGTTGTGGGCTGGAGCGGGCAGAGCAGATGTGGAGCCCGTTAGGGGGCCGTTGTAATAATCTATGAGCGAGTTGCTGGTGGCTTACAAGATGAGTCAGTGGGGGTGGAGAGGAGTGCTATTTAGGAGGTGGATTACCAACGTGTATTGATGGACTGGAGACGGGGCATGTGGGAGAGGGCGATTCAAGGATGGCCCCAGGTTCCTGCCTGGATGGCTGGGTGGATGGTGGCCCGCGCCTTTCTCCCCATCTTCTTGTCCCCTCCCTGCCCTGCATGGCGCCCCCTCCAGGCAGCCCCTCCTCTTCCCCCTTGGACCAGGATCCCCGGCCTCAGAGGTGGCCCTTTTATCAGCGGTGCCTTCGCTGGCCCTGACGTCTCTACTGTGCTTGGGCTTTGCCCTCTGTGCCTCGGTCCGCGTCCTCCCCCTCCAGTACGTCACCTTCATCCTGCAAGTGATCAGCCGCTCCTTCCTGTACGGGGGCAATGCCGCCTTCCTCACCCTCGTGTAAGTGGGCTTGGGGTCTGTGACCTAATGGGGGACACACTGGGGCAAAAGGAAGTGTGCTGGAGGTAAGGACCTGGGAGGTGAGGATGGGCCTGGGGGTGATCAGGCGAGGGGAACAGGGTCCGGGAGCAGACGTGGGGGTGATGCCTGGTGGGAGGGACAGAGCCTTCAGGTACTTGAGCCTCCACGTCAGCTCTACCCTCTGCCTCCGTAGTCTGTCCTGTGAACTCCTATTCACCCCCCAGGCCCGCTTCCGTCCCAACTCTCCCAGGAAAGAGTTGGGAAGAAAGTGTGGTTCTTTCTTTGTGCCCTTGGCACCCACTCTAGCCTTGCTTCCTTTGAGAGTGCACACATCGCCTGGCATATAGTGTTCACGTGTTCTGTCTTTTCCTTGAGACCTCCCTGGGGCACCGCTTGTATCTGGGTCCCTGCTGTTTTCCCAGAGCCCAGTACAATGCCTTCTCTGTGTTCTGTGGTTTCAAAGCCTGAGCCAAGGCAAAGGGGATGGGTGGGTGGGCGAAGGCAGGCCTAGGACACAGGAGTCAGGAGTGAGTGGCTGACAGAGGCCCAGAAGGCAGGGCAAGCTCCTGCTCCCTGAAACTCACGGGAAGCCCCTTGTCTCTCCTCAGATTCCCTTCGGAGCACTTTGGGAAGCTCTTGGGGCTTCTGATGGCCCTGTCAGCCATCGTGTCTCTGCTCCAGTTCCCCATCTTCACCCTCATCAAAGGCCCCCTCTGGGGTGACCTGTTCTACGTGAGTACTGTGAGGAGGGGAGGGGTCCTGGCCTTAGACTGGCAAGGACGTCCAGGCTGGGGCAACTCGGGGGGACCCCAGCAGGGGGCACTGACAGACCTGGCAGTGTCCTGACCACTGCACAGCGCTGCGAGCCTCATTTCAAGAAGCTCAGCAAAGTTTCAATCAGTCATTAGAATAAAAAAATGGACTGAACTTACAAATCAAGGAGAATTCCCTGATTGTGACATCGGAAGGCCCTCAGGAGATCTAGCTGGTGCCTCCACCAACTTCCCATGTGACCTTGAGCAAGTCATTATGTGCTCGCGAGGCCTCTGTTTCTTCACCTGTGAAATGGGCATAATATTCTTCCCCCACCCTCCTCCACAGGGCAGAATTAAGACGAACCCCTGGTCCTTCCCCTGGGGCACTGTAGTGTCTGAGTGGAAAACAGATCCACTGGGCAGAGTCCTGGTCCCTTCGCGGGTGGGGTCCCTGGACTTCGCCTCACTCCTCTCCCCTGCTCCCCCCCAGGTGAATGTGACGTTGGTGCTTTTCACTCTTCTGACATTCGTCCACCCCTTCCTGGTGTACCGTGAGTGCTGGCGGAAAGAGCCGTCCCCTGCAACGGCCTAGCTCAGACGCCCTTGATTTTCAGCCCTGCAGATGCTTTTGCTCACCTGTCCTCATCTTAGAGGACCCTGTGTCCAGAGAGACTTGGCCCACCCAGCCTATTTGTATTAAGTACCCATTATTTTTCCTTAAAAAAAAAAAGCTGCCTTTAACTGTTTAACTGCCAGCTAAGAGTTTTGATCAGTAAGAAAAGACTCTCAGTTGCCAAGCTGATTGACGTCAGCCAGCGCAGAAGCAAAAGCACGTGGAAGTTCTTCTTAGTTCCAGGCCCGGAAGCATATGGCCATGGCAGACATGGCCTGAGGGGAGCTGATGTGATGGGGGAAGAGGTGTGTCACTTACTTCTTTAGGCCTGTTTGGCCCTGAAGCCCTCGTGTGCCTGGGCTCCGAGCTGCCGGGTGATTTTCTAGGCCTCAGCTGTGCCACCTGGTGTCTAGAGGTGGCACCCAGTTTGCCCTCAAAGGCACAGCCTTGGTGAGAGAATGGCCGTGAGCCTGAGGAGGAAGAGGAGTAGACGGGGTGGGGGTGGGGGCCCCTGGGCCTGAACCCCATGTCTGCCACTGATGTTGCATGGCCTTTGGCAGACCCTTGTCTGGTCTGAGCATCAGTTTACCCATCTGTAAAATTAGAGGGTTGTGGAGTTTGAAGGTTCTTTCTGGAGCTAATGTTCCAGAAGGTTTTAAGGACAGTGATAGGGTCAGGCCACCCACAGGCCTTGGGAACCAGGGGGCCTGCTCCACCAAAGGAGCTCTAGCAAAGTCTTTTGGGCATGTTTTCGTCTTCATCAAGGGGGATGATTCTTTACTTTGGGTAGCATATAGAATTTTTCTCTGGGGGATAATTTTGCTGATAAATAAAGCACCTCTGCCTACGGCAACTACTGCTCCTCTTCTCCAGTCTTTGGGGCTGTGGTGTGCGTGTGTGCGTCTGCCCCGTGCGCCAGCCTGGGGAAGTGAATGATGGAGGGGAGGCAGAGGGACCTGGATGCAGGGTCCTGGTGTGGCAGCGGGACCGTGACGTGGGGCAGGAGCCCTGAGACTAGGATCTGCCCACCGGGTCGGGCTTGAGACCCCCCCCACCCCCACCCCCAGGCATCTCCTCCTGGACACTCTACAACCCCAGCTGGAAGCACTAGGTGGAGTCAGAAGGTCCAGGTATGAGTCTCACTTCTGTCGCTCAGCATCTGGGCATGTCTCTTCGCTTCTCTGGACCACAATTTCCTCACCTGCAAAGTGCAGTTAATCATTTCTACCCCTGAGGGTGTTGGCGAGGATTGAAAGTAATTGCTACTGCCTGGCACATGACTGGAGCACACGAGTATTTGTTCCATTACTTACTCACGGCCAGAGAGGGATGGGTAGCAAGGAGAGAGACGGCAGGTGGGCGAGATGGGAGAACCTGGGGTCGGGGTTAGGATGGTCGGGGAAGGGGGCTGTCAGGCAGTCATTCATTCATTGTCATTGTGAACAAATGTTTATTGAGCCCTTACAATAGGTCCGGTAGGTCCTAGGGGCTGGGGATATGGAGATGCACAGGGTCTGAAGCCAGCTCTTTTCTGAACTTGCTGAAGGGTAATTTCCAGGGGCCTAGGGACCTGGGTCTGAAGACAGACACCAGAGTGCGAATGGATGTCTTTGATCTTCTCTTTCTCAAACACTTTCAATGTCTCCGTGCTGCCCAGGGGGGAAAAGCCTAGGTTCTAGCCTGGCATTCAAGGCTCTCAGCAGTGTGATTCCAACCTCTCCCCTGACCTCTTCACCTCACACCTCCAGGGAGAGAGAGCTCATCCCAGTGGCCCCAGGTTCCTGGTCTCTGGGTCTGGGAACACACCAGTTTCCTCTGCATTAGGAGCTCACCCCATCTCTGCCAGGAAACCTGCCTGGTCTGCTGGGGTCCTGCTCAAAATGGCATCTCCTCCAAAAATCTTTCTTTGGGCTCTCCAGCAGCTCTGAGTTCCTGGTACTTGCTCACACCCTTTCTGGTGACTGGAAACTGCTTCCTTGCATGACAACCTCTCCGAACCTGGACAGCAAGCTCTGGGAGGCGGCATCTGGGACTCCCTGGCTCAGTGAGTGATATGTGCTTGCCACCCAATGATGCAAGTTAGGCTTGTTAAACAGTAATTGCAATGTGAGTGGATTGTTTCTTTTCTTTTTTTTTTTTTTAATTGGGGAGTTGGGGGGATGGGAACAGTGCTGGGGAACTGGGGGAAGCGGAACGGACAAGCTGCTGTTGTTTTGTTCCTCAGTCTAGTTGTGGAGGACATCGCCCCACCAGCCCAAGTTGGCACCATCATTGCGCTCCTCCCGGGCGAGGCAGATCAATCGCCAGCTTCTGGAAGGCCACTCACCGCGGCCGCTGGCCACTCACGCCAGCCACCGGCCACACACGGCAGCCTATGGCAACCCACTGCCACAGGGGCTGCAGCCCACACCGTCGCCCGCGACTCATGGCAGCCCAGCTCCAGGCCGAGCCGCTGTTCAGCATCTCAGCTGTGGAGGGCAGTGTCACTGGCCCTCCCAGTGGGATCCGAACCGGGGCCCTCTGGCGTCCCAAGTCAGTTCTTAACCATCGCGCCACTCGGCCGGCCCGGGTTGTTTCTTGTCCTGGCCCCAGAGCCAGTCTGGAAGAGAGAGCAGAGCCCCCGGGGGAGCAGAGCACCAGAGCTCCCAGAGTCTGGTGCTGTGGGAAGAACGTGGACTGGGAGGCCAGGGCAGCCCTTTTTTTCATCCCAGCTCCGTCACTAAGCAGTGTGACCTTGGATGGGCCACTTCATCCGTACACCTGTTTATCAGTATGATGGGAGAAATAGACCTGCCTCCCTGGACTGTTGTAATTAGAAATTAGATCAAGTGCCAACACATGGTAGGTATTCAGCAGATCACAGGTATCTTTACAGTTAATATGTTAAATTTAAAAAGGATGCCGAATGCCCACCAACAGGTGGATGGATAAGTAAAAAGTCGCCCCACACAATGGAATATTATTCAGCAACACAAAGGGATAGAGTACTGATACTATGACATGGACCCACTTGGAAAAATTTATGCGACGTGAAAGAAGCCAGTCATAAGATAGCACCTGCAGTATGATTACAGTCAGACATGAAATGTCCAGGAAAGGCACATCTCTAGAGGTAGAGAGTAGATTAAGGATTGCCTGGGGTCGGGGAGAGGAGAGAATGACTGCTAATGAGGAAGGGGTTGCTTTCTAAAGGGATGAAAATGTTCTAAAATTGACAGTGGTTGTACAACTCTGAGATACATGGAAGTAAACACTTGCAACAGGTGAATTGTATGGTATGTGAATTATATCTCAATAAAGATGTTATTAAAAAGAAAAAAAAAGATGCTTGGATTCCTCAGGAAGTGCGGAGAACACTTACATCCAGAGAGAGCCAGAGATGAGTAAGTGAGAGAAGTGGTTCACGTGCACAGCCTCCTATTTCTGTGCCAAGAGCCTCCCTCCTGTAACCTCTTCCTCAAATGGGACCAACCCCTCCCTCCTGTAACCTCTTCCTCAAATGGGACCAACTGCTCTTTCAAACGAGGAAGGAAGCAACCCAGGGCTTTCACAAGTTTTGATTTCACTCAGCAACGGGCTCCCAGTGCAACCCTTTTCTTCCCTGCCAGCCTCAGCAGAGAGGGACTGGAGGCAAATGTATTCTCTCCACAGATGTTGGGCCAGGCGGGACCTTCCTGCGACAAAGGACACTTCCTGGGACAGAGGACACTTAATGAGGAAGAGAGTGCCTGCCATTTAAAGAACAGCTGGCAGCACGAGTTACAGCTTTGTGTGATGGTCTCTGTTTATCAAGCCCCACTTTTCAGATGAGGAAAGCCAGGCTCCAATGGACACCATCACGTCCAAGATCATCCAAGTAGCGGGTTATGGAGCCTCGACTTATACTCAGATTTGTCTGACGCCCAAGGTCATGTTCATTGTAGACGTTACCTTTTCTTTACAGTCATTCTTATGTAAGAAACACATGCGGGTTGTAACACAGACCAGAAACTGAAGAACGACATGAAAAAGAAGTCTCACTGTGAATCGCACCACTCAGAAATGCCCGTTGGTCGGCACATTGGCGTGTTCCCTCTGAATCATGGGACCGTGTGCGTGTGATAATGGAAATGATCTCACAAGCTTTTCTTCATGTCATTAAATAGTCATCAGAAACGTGATTGTACAACCCCATCTCCAGGCCACGTCACACCTCATTGATCACCCACCCTGCATCCTGGGGTCCCTCTTACACACATCTTGGGATGCCGTGCCCCCATTCCCATGCTGTTCCTGCTGTCCTGCCTGAGCAGGGGGTCCCAGAGGACAGTGATCCATGGGAGCGGCCGAGGTCAGCAGATTGGACAGTGAAAGTGCTAACAGGACCCAGAGGGGCCAGCTGTTGTCCATGAGCCACCTTAGAAGTTCTTAGGGAATGAAGACGCATTCTTTGATCATCAACATTAATTTGTTCTTTAGCCAAAGGTGTTGACTGCTGGCTTCTCCAGGGCCGTGGACTCTAGCCCCCAAATTTGAAGCTTAGGGCAAGGACTCCAGGGGTTATTTCTGGAGCCCCTTTCCCTGCCAGCCCCTCAGGGGATAAATTCTAAATGTGTTGGGTGCAACTCGTGCATAGCAGTGAGTGTGTGCTCTAACGTTCTCTGGGAAGGACACTTTCATCTGGGCTTCCGGGCACAGGTCCTTTCCAGGCACAGGCTCTGGTTCTTTGTTCCATCCTGAGGAGTCCCCAGGTGGGACATGTCTGGTGGCTTCTGGGCATATCACAGGTCACTGCCCACAGGGGGGCTGACTCACGGGCAGGCAGGGTGATTAAACCCAGGGCCGTGGCTCGTGGTCACACCACCCCTGATGCCAGGGGTTTGGATCATTTATTTTCTAACTGCAAACATCTGCTCCTAGGCTTCTCAGCAGTCCGTTTCCTGGGTCCAATGGTACCCCTCACGCCTGAAGGCGGACTCGAGTAGTAGGTGCCTGGGACAGGCTCTGGGCTTCGCAGGCACCAACCAGCCGTGTGGCCTTGAAGAAACCCTTAATCCTGCACTGCTTCCATTTCCTCACCATAGTGGAGATAGCAAGTACCATGGGGGCTCCTGGGAGGATGACCAGGAACCTTTGAGAACTAAAGGCAGAGGCAGTTTGGGCTCTGCACTGGACTGTCCAAGACCACCTCCCAGCTCTTCCCCATGCAGGCTCTGGGATAACAACAGGACTGTATCGTGGAGCTGTGAGGATTCGGAGAATTAGTGAACGTAAAGCACTCCACACATGATATGTGTCCCACTTGGCAGGCAGCAGGCTGCTGTGTGAGCATGTGGCTGCAGGTGTCATCAGTGACACCTGCGATGCTTGGGGCACAGCACACTAGGGTGCACCCATGTTTTACTCCCAGTGGGGTCTGGAATGTCACTGTCATGGTGCAGGTTGGAAACCACCCTGCAAGAATTTGCCCAGGCTTGTTTCTGCCTAACAAAGAGACACAGATTCTCTTGTATTGTTTAGAATGGGAAAACTTCAAGGCAAAATTACCCAAACTCTTAAGCCAAAGTCGATGAAAAATAACAATCTTCATAGTCAATTTTTGTGCCATTCTGTTTTTCAGCAGTCAACGCAGACAATCCATGAGCACAGACATGTCAATCAACGGGGCTGGGACTGTGTAGTCCTTCCTGAGCCAGGGGCTCCCAGCCTAAAAGGGCTGGGCCACCTTGTTGTCACCTTCTCAGGCTGCGTGTCCTTGAACGTGTCCAGCCTCTAGGGCCTTTGTTCCCTCACCTGAAATGGGGGTTAGACGCCTACCTCCGAGAGTGGTGAGGATAATCGGTCTTTGCATGAAAAGTGCTTGGTCCCGGCACACAGTAGGTTTTAAATTAATAGAAGCAATAATATTTATTATAAACACAAAAATCACATTAAAGGTCCAGTGCACTATTTAAAAGTGAACCTGATTTATTTTCTTTGCTTGGAATGTGTCCCACCCAACCCTGGTTAACTCTACATTTCCTTCTCTCCCATCTCAGATCATTCTTCCTTCCTTTCTGGCCTGTTACCTGGTGCAGGTTTTCCAGGAACCAGGCACCTCTTGGCAAAGGGCTTGGCAGTTTAACATGTGATCAATTAAATTAATGTGTGTCTTCCATTAGGCTTGGAACTCCATGTGGGCAGTAACTGTATCTTCCATTACCCATTATATCCCTAGGGCTTTTCACCCTCTCGGGTTCAGAATGGAGGTTCAAGGAATACTGGATACATAGGTGGAAGGGGAAGAGAGAGAGAGAAGGAGAGAAAGAGAGACAGAGAGAGAGACAGAGAGAGAGACAGAGAGAGAGAGAGAGAGAGAGAGAGAGAGAGAGAGAGAGAGAGAGGGAGAGAGAGAGGGAGAAGAGAGATAGGAGGAAGGTAGGGAGAGGGGGAAGGTAGGAAGAAGGGAAAGGAAGAGAGGAAATAAGGAAGGAAAAAAGAAGGAAGGAAGGAAAAGAGTCTAACTCCCCATCACCCAGAGATTTATGTTCTTCCACTCACAGGAACTTTCTTGCAGAAACTTCAGGGTGAAATGGGCCAGCAGGCCTTGGAGAATTTTGGGGTACTTCTGGTGGTATCATGTGGGGAAGAGATGAAATGATGGACAGTTTGAGTCAGAATGCTGTCCTCTTGTAGCTGGCCAAGAGAAGATGACCTGCCTAGGAGAAAGCCCCTGGGCGACCCAGCCCCTCCCTCTGGGTCTCCTCAGTCACCTCCAGGAGTCTTCCTAGGACATGGCAGCAACTGCTAGAGGAATGGTGTGTGTGGCCAGCCTGGTGCTGAGACCAGTAAGCCTGAAAGTCAGTTACACCAATAACCACGGCCAGTCTGCCTCCCCCACTCATTTTCACCTGCCTCTGCCAGGTGGGCGAGTTGGCTGAAACCCATAGGACCTCAGGGCAGGGATGTGAACCTCCCCTGCTGAGTGTGAGGGCCCCATGCCTGGGCTCTTCCCCTCAGCCAAACCTCCCATCACGGCTCTGAGCTTCCCGCTGGGG